TGACAGGTTTTGGGGAGGGGGCTGAGAGGACGAAGATGGTGGTGTCGGGGAGGGTCAAGGACAGCAAATATGTGCCAAAAATGGTTGTCGCATGCGATGAAGAATGAAAATGGGTTGCAAAAATCAGCAAAAATCGACCAAATTGGGGGTTGTCAAGGTTGGGAAAACGTTTCGGAAATGATTAAGTGATGAATCCGGTCAATTTTGGTGAGAAAATTGTCTGGAATCATCACTTTAACGCCGACGGCGAAACTATGGCGGTGTAGAGGGGTGGAGATGCACTGTTTTCATCATTTTAGGGATTGAATGGGTGTGAAACCCCGTTTTTAATCCTAATACATATTACATATTTTGTGTGATTTTATTTTTACGGAAGGGGATTTCTGTTAGTTTTTAAAAGTTTTATTGGGAATGAAATTTGCAAGAAAAGGAAGCTGCTGGGTTTGCATGTAATAAGAGGCAAAATCTGGAGGTTTATTTGAAAGAAAAGCTGATGTGGTAGGGGTTTAGTGGGATTACCTGTAATCTAGGGGCAGAAGCATAAATTTAGAAAGATTAAAAATATAAAAAAGAAAGAGAAGGGGGCTGATTTTTGGCCCAAAACGAAGAAGAAGAAGATGAGAGAAGAAAACCGAGAGAAAGAAAAGAAAAAGAAAAAGAAGAGAGAAGAAGAGAAGAAAGAGTGATAGAGTGAGAGAGGAAAGAGAAGAAAAGAAGAAGAAGGAAGAGGAAAAAAAAAAAAAAAAAAAAAAAATTGAGAGGTGGTTTGCTTGTCTTTTAGTAAGCATGCATGTGATTGGATCGATGGATCTCTTCTCCCTTTCTTAATTTAGACCTTGGCTTAGATTATTTCTGTCTTTTGGGCGTTAGGTGTGGGGAAGGGGAATCTTGAGGTTGTCTTTGCACTTTCGGCTTAGCCTAAAAGGGTGAGTGGACCAGCCAAAAACTCTTTTAAAAACTCAATTCCTGTTTGCATGTAAAGTGTTGATTTCTATTATAGTGTTTGATCCAAATTTTGGTGTGATATCTTGTTAAATCTGCCTTGCATGTTCGGCTAGCTGACTTTAAAGTGCTGCATGTCCGTTTCGATTCTAGCACCATGTCTTGATGAAATCTGGAATTTTGTGAGTGGAAAATGCATTGAATCCTTTTCTAAAGTTTGCATTTTTCAAGTGGCATGGTACTTGATGTTTATTGTTTCAGGCATTTAAAATTTATGTTTAAATTGATTATTTGGAATATTGTTTGTACCATAGAGATGAGTTGTGGATGTTATTGATTTGTAGAGTAGATGGAGAAAGAGAAGTTATAAAATGGGCAAATTAAAAATGCTGAACTTGGCATGCATGTGTGCATTTTATGCATACATAATGTTTGTGAATAGAAAGAAATTATGGGAAATTGTATGTTGGATATGGTGGCTGACTATTGTGTTTAACGAAATTGGAGATTTAATGCAATAGTTTTATATGGGTAGAGCATATATGTTGATCCTAAAGAATCAAGAGTTATTAAAGTATGTTTTTGGTTATAAAAGTTATGCTGTGAAATTCTGACAGCCTAAACTTCTGAAAATTTTATATATGTTTCGGGTTTGTAAATGAAGCTAAATTTCAGATATTTTGTTTTAGACTTTTAGAGATTGGTTGAAAATTGATTTCACCCCAAAATTCGAAGTATTGGATTTTTTAATGAATTTTGATTCTGCTATGAAATTCTGGAATTTCATGTTTTCTGTAGAGCATGCATTTTTCAGAACTGAAATAATGCACTTATACTTATCCAAATTGAGTGATTTAAATTCTGGTGAATCATATATGTGTCTATTTTATTCTGGAGAGTTTCATGAGGTTTAGATTAAGGGCTGAATTGTTATGAATTTTACAAGTCAGTAACCTAATTCTGGAAACATTGGCAGATTTAAATGAGTTGAAAGAAAATTGTGTTTTAAATAGTTATTGACTCTGAAATGACTTGAAAATATACTGATCAACATATATTTGTCTTGAATGCCCCATTGAAATTATAGCTTGATTTGGTGAGTGGATTAAACCAAATTTCTTCCAAATCCTTAACACCATGCTTGCATGTTAACTTGTGATTTCATTTTAAATGTTTTGATGAAGTTTGGTATATATCTTACGATCAGTGTCGGCATATGCTATGGTAATGTGATGTTGAAAGTATTTTTTAATCTGGGTTAAACTGTCGTTTTAAAACATGTTTGGAAATTTTTAATTTCACCCCTGGATGTGATTTTTGAATATTATGTCATATATGTATGATTTATAAGCACTTACGAAATATGCTCTTGACTTATATGTTACTTGAGATTATGCATGAGATTGTTATGGTGCTAAAACCACCCTACGAAGTACCCATCCCCCAGTTTTCAGGCTCTGCCCACGCGATGCAGGATTTCGCTAGGTATTGAGATTTTGGTCTTCAGGCTCTGCGCATGCGTATTGAGATATTTAGTGCTCTGCCTGCGTAGTTTGTCCGCCAGGTATTGAGATGGTTTTCTTCAGGCTCTGCCCGCGCGATGATAGATCTTGTCGGGTATTGAGATGTATTTCCCAGCTCTGCCTGTGTGTGGGATGCCCACCAGGTATCGAGATTTTTCCCCAGGTACTAGTTGTGGTGAGAACGTTTAGTATCAGTTTATTGTTTCGAAACAGGATATCAGTTTAAAGTTTTCAATACCAGCCTATAGTTTTTCAGTATCAGTAAAAGCTACAGTATCCATTTAAAGTTCAGTTATCAGCATAAAGTTTACAGTATTCCAAAATCAGTTATCAGTGCATAGTTTCAGAAAAATCAGTTTTCAATTTTATATCATCACAGCATTATAAATTTAGTTACCAGATTTTTGTTTTGTGAACCATGAGTGTTCATTGAATGATGGTTTGGATGTTTGCAGCATGACTAGTAGAGTTTTATTTTCATGATCATAGGCAATCTTGAGTGATGACATAGATGGTTGCAGCATGCCTTGTAGGAAATATTGTTCCCAAAGCATAGCACTTATAGTTATGTTTTAAGTTTCCAGAAAAAGAATTTTAAGCATTCAATGATGAGCTAATTCAGAATTTGTTTTCAGCTTGAATGATGAGATTACAGTACTTAGAACAATTTTAGAAAACGAGTTATACATGCATACAGGAATGATTTAGTTACTTCCATAACACGTTCATAGAATCATGTTGTTTTCTGTATTTTATAGAACCATTGCATGCCATGACTATTGTTGAAGAATGTTTTGCAAACTCTCCCCAATCCCCCACTCACTGGTATCTCCTCACCCATTTTTAGACCCTTTCCCCAGGTTCACAGGAAGAGTCGTACTGAGGAGTGATTCCTCTCGAGGTTGGGCCCTTACGTCTCGACTCATCATGTGTGTAAAATGTCATGCTTGTTATCGCTACCGAATTATGTTTTTATCCTTATGTTTATCTCCTGTGTTGATTATAAAAGATATGAATATCTGATACCATCCGTTTTTGGACTTTATGAACGTACAAGTTAGCTGTCAGATTTTCAAATGTATACATATATATATCTTATGTGTTTATGCTTTCAAAACGAATCCAAGCGAATGTTTTTATGAAAAACGTATTTAGAATACAGGTTTTTAGATTCCCACACGGCACGTCTCGGCCGCCCGAGTCTCATAGGTACGCCCGGAGCTTATGGGGTAAGGAGGGTCGAGGCGGGTCGTGTCAATGGGTGTTTTGAAATTTTAGACATTTAAATAACTAGTTTAGTTAATTTAGAGGTGTGAATAGAAAATATGAAACATGATTTTTTTGTAAATTTATGTAAAAAAAAAAATATATATAATGAATTTGGGCCTTTTCGGCTTTTTTGGGGCCTTTTGGACTGGTTTGGATAAAATATTATAAACTTATTTAAGTTCAATAGTATTTACGTAATTTTATTTAAAAAAATCTTAAAATAATTTGAGACCCGTTTTTGGGGCTTTTTTTGGGGGCCCTAGGCAAGTGCCTCACCTACCTGCCCCTTGTGCCGGCCCTGAATAACACTTGAATACGAGCTTTTTGGAGATACATGGACAATTAAAGGGTGAGTGGGGACTCAGGCCCGCACTGACCTTGGAAAATTTTCAAAAAGTCCTTTTCAATTTTTCATTTTATAAAAGTAGTCTAAAGTTTTTGTGCCACTACTTTTTTCATGTTTTGAGATTTTTTGTCTTCAACTTCCAATATATTTTAAGTTTTGATACTTTTTCTTTCTTTATTAATATTGAATATAGAGTACATAATTTAGAATTTCAAAATTAATTTATTTTTCTATTTTAGTTAAAATTTTCATCTATTCAAAATAAAAATATTAATGGTGCTTCAAGTTTATATATGGTTAATTTTTCGTATTTTTATCTATTACTTTTTAATATTTCAATTTTTTCTTATGATTTGTTCCCACTAACCAAAAGTCTGGCTCCTCACTGGGTGACACTGATATATTTGTCAAGACCTGCATGTGTCCCATATTGTCATATTAATGATTAAAATAAAAGGGTATTTATTTTAAGGAAATTGTGCATTAAGATCAAGAAATTGTTGCTTAACAAAGTGAGAATCAGCAACTAAAGAATATAATGGCATATAGATCAGGTTTCAATTTTAGGTCATATTGTAATAATCTGAGCAGGAGGTAGCAAAAGAGGCAATTGTATTGCCGAAGAATGCCAAGAAGAAGAATAAAGGATGACAATAGAAGCAACTATGTTGCTGAAGAATGACGAGAAGAAGAAAGAAATATAGAAGAATGTGTGTATTTCATATGTTTTGTAATGTGTACAGATGCCTATTTATACAGAGGCTATGTAAATAATAAAGGAAATACAATCAATCCAATCAATATAAAATGATTACATAATATTACAGTGAATAAATCAGTAGCATGATATCTGCAGTAATTTTATCAATGCTTGATTCCAGCAACATAATCTTCAGCATTCCATATTACATCACTCCCCCTCAAGCTGATGGTTTGTAGATGTCGAAAACTCCTAGCTTGTGTAGTAAATATGAATGCTGACGACTACATAGAGGTTTCGTGAAAATGTCTGCTGGTTGTTCTGCAGTCCTGATGTGCATGGTCTTGATAATCCCTTCTTGAATCTTCTCTCTAACAAAATGACAGTCAATTTCTATATGCTTAGTCCTTTCATGGAATACCGGATTTGCTGCGATGTCATTAGCAGCTTTATTGTCACAATACAAAGTGACAGGTTTTCCTGTTTGTACCTCTAAATCTCTCAGTAATCCAAGGATCCAAACAATCTCACAAGTTGTTTTTGCCATGGCCCTGTATTCTGCTTCTGCTGAGGAAAGTGAGATCGTTGACTGCTTCTTTGTTTTCCAGGAGATAAGTGATCCTCCAATTTTAATACAGAACCCAGTGAGTGACTTTCTCGTCATAGGGCATGTACCCCAATCAGAATCACAATATGCGGTGACATCCAGATTTCCATCTCTTGGTAACAGAAGTCCCAGGCCAGGACATCCTTTCAAGTATTTTAGTACTTTAATTGCTGCATCCATATGAGACTGTTTTGGCCCATGCATAAATTGACTCAAAATGTGAACAGCATAGCTTATATCAGGACGTGTCATGGTGAGATAAATCAATCTTCCCACAAGCTTCTGATAGTGAGATGGATCTTCCAATGGAGGATCATCTTTTGAAGATGATGTCGCATGATCATATTGCTGGGTGGTGAGCTTAGTATTTTGTTCAACAGGAATGGCGCTCGGTTTGCATGCAGATAAGCCAGATTCTGACACAAGCTCAAGAACATACTTTCGTTGACTAAGAGATATCCCTGCTGGAGATCGTGCGATCTCTATCCCCAAGAAATATTTAGGCTCCCCCAGATCTTTTATACGAAAGTGTCTATTGAGATGTTCTTTTAGTGTATGGATGTTCTCTTCATTATTTCCTGTGATTAGAATGTCGTCCACGTAAATAATGAGAGCAATGAAGGACNATCACTTGAGATATAAAATTTGGAATAAAGTGTGGAAAAAATAATATTATTGAATTCTATTATCATTTTTTTCAATAAAAAGACATTTATAAATGATCAACCAATAACATCGTACTTCTTGTGGAAAAGTATCGCTAACGGTTAAAATAAATAGCACGAAATCGATTGAAAGTGGCACACCTCCAATTAACTTTTAGTCATTTCTTTTTCATTGAATTTTCTCGTGCATTTTTCTCATGAAATCGATTGGAAGTGTCCCATCTCTAAACAACTTTTAGTCATCTCTTTTTCACTGAATTTAATGAAAAGAATTTATAAGATGATCATCCATGAGAAATCCAATCCTAGATGAGCTGTACCGTTTGTTTTCTCAAATACTATTGTACATAAGATGATTAACAATAGTATTGTGGTTCATTGAATTTGTTGATCATCTTATAAATTCTTTTCATTGAATTTTCTGATGGATGACAGAAGATCATCTTATAAATTATTTTCATTAAACTCAGTGAAAAAGAAATGGCTAAAAGTTGTTTACAGATGGGCCACTTCCAATCGATTTCATGAGAAACATGCACGAGAAAATTCAATGAAAAAGAAATGACTAAAAGTTAATTAGAGGTGTGCCACTTTCAATCGATTTCATGCTATTTATTTTAACCATTAGCGATACTTTTCCACAAGAAGTATGATGTTATTGGTTGATCATCTTATAAATGTCTTTTTATTGAAATAAAATGATAATAGAATTCAATAATATTATTTTTTCCACACTTTATTCCAAATTTTATATCTCAAGTGATATGTTTTATGTGATTAACATGTAAACAAAATGACGATACATTAAATGATATGACAATACCAATAAAATGACACATAATTTCTTATACAAATTTTGAGATAAATATTTCAATAAAGTTATATACACATCACACTTATGTATATTAACACCTTCTATGATACTAAACTCCAAAATGAAAATGCAAAGAAACTTCTAATGATGCACATTTTATATTATTCACACGCATTATTAACTTGGATAGATAGGTTCACCGTATAAATTTGATCGCGCTACCACTAAAGAACATAAATAAATATTGAATTGTGTAATTATATCAAGTATCAACTAATCAAATTATTATGATCAGATATTTTACACTCTTTGTAACATGGCTTAAACTAAATTATTAGAGATTGAAAAGTTATTATATAGTGTTCACTCAAATTAATCTTATAACCCTTATAAATAATAATTGTTTTGATCCCAAGAAATCAAAAAACTCTTGCTTTCCAATTGGCTTATATGACCTAAAATTGAAACCTGATCTGTATGCCATTATATTCTTAATTGCCGATTCTCACTTTATTAAGCAACAAGTTCTTGATCATAATGCACAATTGCCTTAAAAGAATATAAAAGGCACCACGTTTTTTTACGAACAACTGAAATAAAAAATAAGTTTAACAGTGCACCAAGAGCTCCACTTTAACTAAGAGTTCTGGTTAATTTGAGTTAAAAGAAGGCAAGAGGAAATCTAGGAGAAATTAAGGAAGTTGAGTTAAATTAGGAGATTGAATATACCTTAGATTCATTCCAAAGAGGAATTTGATCTTCAATTCTCCTAAAAGACTCACTCATCTCGTCCTACCAGATTTCATACCCCTCTAATGGAAGTGTTCTCCTAAAACTCTTTTTACTTCACTATATAAGTGTAAGGAATCAAGACAGAGACAGAGAGAAGGACAAAGAGAAGCAGTTCAAGATAATGACATTGCCAGAGTATGCCCAAGAGAAGAGAACGAGAGAAGAATTTTTGTATATTCAGTATATTGTAAAGCTATACATTTGGCCAATTTATACAGTTTTGTAAATGTAAAGAAGGAAAATAATAAATACAAGAATCCCTGTAATTGTTCAATCAATCACATGAATTAAGTTGATTGATTGAAACTTTAATCACTCCTTAATCTTAGCTAGCAGAGATCAAGGGAAATCAATAATAAAGACATTCCATATTTCATCACTCCCCCTCAAGTTTGTGGTTTGTAGATGTCAAAAACTCCAAGCTTGCTAAGTAAATATGAATGATGTTTGCTACATAATGGCTTTATAAAGATGTCTACTGGTTGTTCTAAAGTACGAATATGTAAAGTCTTGATTACCCCTTCTTGTATTTTGTTCCTGGCAAAACGACAATCAATTTCTATATGTTTTGTTCTTTCATGGAATACTGGATTTGCTGTTATGTCATTTGTAGCCCTGTTGTGACAGTATAAAAAACTAGTTTACTTACTTGTACTTCTAGGTCCTTTAATAATCCCAAAATTCGAACAATCTCACATGTTGTATTTTCCATGGCTCTGTATTCTACCTCTGCTGAAGAAAGAGATATTGTCGATTGTTTCTTTGTTTTCCAAGAAATAAAAGCTCCCCCTAGCTTGATGCAGAATCTTGTGAGTGATTTTCTTGTCATTAGACATATGACCCAGTCTGAGTCATAATAAGCTATGATATCCAAACTTTTGTCTCGAGGAAAGAGGAGACCTAAGCTAGGACATCCTTTTAATTATTTCAGAACCTTTATCGTAGCATCCATGTGAGATTGTTTAGGCCCATGCATGAATTAACTAAGGGTGTGGACCGCATAACTGATGATTGGGCAAGTCATGGTGAGGTAGATTAATCGCCCAACAAGTCTTTGATAGTTTGTGGGGTCTTCAAGAGGTGGAGCAACTTCAGTAGATGATGTCCCATTGTCACATTCCTGAGTAGTCAATTTGGTGTTTTGTTCTACTAGAATAATACTTGGCTTGCATCCTGATATCCCAGAATCAGAAATTAGTTCCAAGACATATTTTCATTGGCTGAGAGATATACCTGCCGGGGATCTTGCAATTTCAATTCCTAGGAAATATTTTGGTTCTCCCAGATCTTTTATTTGGAATTGTCAACTAAGATGCTCTTTCAAGGATTTGATGCATACTTCACCATTTCTTGTAATAAGAATGTCATCTACGTAGATGATTAGAGTAATAAGGGTTTTACCTTTGTGCCAAGTAAATAGTACATAGTCATGTTTGGACTAAACAAATCCTATGCCAATGAGAGCTTTGCTTAATTTCTTATTCCATTGTCGGGATGCTTGTTTAAGGCCATAGAGAGATTTTTGCAGACGACATATTGTATTCTCCCGTTGTCTGCAAATGTCGGGAGGAAGATCCATATAAATTTGTTCATGAAGATCACCATGAAGGAAAGCATTGTGAACATCCATTTGATGGAGAGGCCAGTCACGAACGGAAGCCACTGTAAGGAAAGTACGAACAGTGACATATTTGGCTACTGGTGAGAATGTCTCTTGACAATCAAAGCCCTCACGTTGAGTGAAGCCTTTAGCCACCAATCAAGCTCTGTAACGTTCAATGGATCCATCAACATGGTGCTTGACTTTGTAGACCCATTTATAGCTAATGGCTTTTCTGTGAGAGGGAGGAGGCACTAGATCCCAAGTATAATTCAGAGACAGAGCAGTAAGTTCATCAGCCATTGCTTGATGTCAGTGAGAGTATTGAACAACATTGGAGTAACTATTGGGTTCTTGATCGACAGAGATGTGACTAAGGCTCTGTGTATAAGAGAGAGACGATCATAACTCACATAATTGGAGGTAGGATATAATGTACCTAAGGAATCTGAAATAGTGGGACATTTGTAATTTGCTATCCAGATTGGAGGCCGAGTTTGCCAAGTACTACAACGTGTGGGAATAACTAGAACTGGAATAGTGGATCCTGGTATAGAGATAGTTGGAACAGGGGATCCTGGTGGGGAACTAACAGTAGGAATTTGAGTAGGTGTTTCTTCCTGAGGATCATTAGTGGCCATTGTATTAGAATCAGAGATAGTGGCTAAGGAACCAGAGGGACTGGTATCATAGTAAATAAAGGATCATGTTGGATATTATCTTTAGGAAATAGTCTGGGTGATGTAGATGTACTAGTCGTTTGTGGCAGACGAAAAATTGTCTTCATGAAACACAACATCTCTGGGGATCAGGAACTTGTTTTCAACTAGATCATATAGCCCGTAACCTTTCTGAAGCATAGGATATCCCATAAATATACAACGGGTGGCCCGAGTACCAAGCTTGTCATGGGAGCCAAGAGTGGTAGCATAACAAAGTCAACCAAATACTCGAAGGTGGTCAAGAGCTGTGGCTTCCTGAATAGTATCTCATAAGGAGTCTTAACATGAAGAACTCTGGTTGGCATGTGGTTGATTAGGTATGTGGTTGTGATCACACAATCGCCCCAAAAGGAAACATGTATGTGGGTTTGGTGTTTGAGGGCACGGGCTACTTCAAGCAGATGGCGGTGTTTTCTTTCGACAACCCCATTTTCTTGTGGTGTATATGTACAAGAGCTTTCATATAGAATGCCAAGAGATAAAAATAGAGATGAACAATTATAATTAAAGAAATCCCTAACATTGTCGGTTCTAACTCTTTGGACAGAAGTAAGAAACTCGATGGTGACCATGGACAAAAAATTCTTAATGTGAGTAAGTGTTTGGGTTTTGGATTGCATGAGGAATGTCCTTGTACCCCGGGAAAGGTCATCGACAATGGTGAGGAAAAATCTGGATCCATTATGATTTGGGGTGTGGTAGGGGCCCCAAACATCAAGATGAATTAAAGCAAAAGGTTGGGTTGTAGTGGAAGTGCTATCCGAAAGGGTAATGCGGGCTTGTTTATCCAATGGACATATAGGACACTGAGTTGAGGGATAGTTGCACTGAGACCTAATCTTTGATAAAGAATAAAAGAATTTTTATTAATCATCTTATTACAATTGGAAATTTTATTTGGAATACAAGTAGGAAAAGTTTTAGTAGACTCAGTAGGTGCCCAGTAGTATATACCTCTATTGACTTTACCCAAGCCCATCAGTTTCCTAGTTGAAGGGTCCTAAAATTTACATGTGTTAGGGCAAAACTCTACAATGCAACTATTGTCTTCACATATTTTGGATACTGAGATGAGGTTAAAATGAAATGCAGGAACACATAGCACAATTTTAAGTGATAAAGTGGTAGATAAGTGGACGGTCCCTATATGAGTAGCTGGGGTGATATTCCCGTTCGGCATACGAATGGAAATAGATGAGGTAGTGGAAATAGTAGTAAAAAATTTTGGGTGACCAATTATATGATCACTAGCCCTTGAATCAATAATCCACATATCAGTTGTGAGTAAATTAAAACAATAAAAGATACTTGCATAAGATGCAGTGGGAGCAGTCGGGACATTGTTTAGCAATTGGAGCAATTTATTATATTGTTCCGGATTGAGAGTGGGTGCTAACTGACTTCCAAGAGAAACTTGGAAAGAAGAAGAATTACCATTTCTGTCATTGCTGTTGGAATCCAGACGACGATGTAATCTCCAACAATGGTCCCGATCATGATTTCTTCTTTTGCAATAATCACAATACAATTGGTTTTTATTGGATCTTGAATTGCCTGACCCATTTAACCCAGATCCAGATCCTTCCAGATCCATTTGACCCATTTGACCAAGAAGTTGACCTGTTTGACCCATGGCGTGACATGGCATGATTGGAGCCGTGAGATGCATTTAAAAACGCGATGAGTTTCTAGCTGTCAGATCGCGAGATTGAATCTGAGCCCTTCATCTTGTCATATATAAGAGAAGGTTTTTCACCTTCATTTTGCCCTACCCAATGTTGATCACCATTCTTTTTCAACCTTGCCAACGCCATTGAATCCAGTGATGTTGTATCAGAGTTCAATTGGCGTTGGCTTTCATCTTGCACCACTAGTTGAAAACTCCGGCGGAGAGAGGGTGGTGGAGACGTGGCCAATACTTGTGTCTTGAAAGAAAGAAAACCATCATTTAATCTGAGTAAGAAATGTGACAATTGGTCGCGATCTCACATTCTGTGGTACTGATTGAGTGTTTTCGGTCGCCCTTTAAGAGTTTCTTCGGCAACGTCTAACTCATTCCAAACAGCAGAGAGCCGATTGAATAAGTGGCGACCGAGTTATTCCCTTGCTTGAGTTCGATGAGGCGCTGTTGGACAGTGAAGAATTTGGCAAGATCGAGCTTCCCATACATCTCCTTGATGTTAGCCCAGATCTCGGCAGCCATTTTTGTCAGTGGGAGCCTAATCGCAACCTCTGACGAAAGACAATTGCTAATCCATGATCGGACTAGCATATTGCAACGATTCCAGTGGCATTGAAGACGAGGTTGTAGTGGTGGTTGAAAAGCCTTATCAAGAAATGGATCTTTGTCTTTGATGATGAGGGCTCATCGGAAATCGCGAGACCAGGAGGCATAGTTATCTAATCTGGTTAGGGTTTGTTTGATGAGGACTAATTCAGGTCCATCGGAGACCAGTGAGAAGAGAACATCGCCTGGTTCAAGGAAATTGTTCCCGGTGACTGGAACAAGTCAAAAGGGATACAGGTAGGGATTTGGATCCGAACCCCATGAAGGAAAGGAATCCGGGTTGTAACCCGAAATTCCAAGAGAGACTGGGTCATGACTTGAATGGGTAAAAAAATCCGGGTTGTAACCCGGCATTCCATATGGAAAATAGGCTGGGTCAAGCCTAGTTTGAGTCGTGTGGGCTTGGGTTGTGTGGGCTTCAATTGTGTGGGTTGTAGCAGGCATAGGTTGGATGTTTAGGCTTGAGATATGTGGACTGTCTTTGGTGATTGGGCTATTTGTATTGGTTGGGCCGTCTGTTGTTGATTTTTGTAAGTGTACGAAATTGTGCAAGTAATAAAGTGTATAAAATACGGATATCGAACCCAAGGGAATTACTATTATCAATTACCAATCAAACTATCCTATTACTAGTTGATCAATCCAAATTTTATCAAGGAAAACCTAAATTAAATAAACAATTGAATTTAAGAAGAAAATTGAAAAGAGAACAATTAAAATAAACCTTTGGGTAAAAAACAAGATGACTAGACCTAGGGCATAGACTTCACACCAACTCTTATTTATATGTATCGATCTCTTATGCTAATTTTATTAAGCTCTTCCTACAGGTCAAACTCCCTAAATTTCCAATAACTTTCTCTCGAACAATTATCAAATTAACTCCTAATTACTAACCCGAATTATCTCTAATTAGATTTAAGCAATTGGGGATCATTACGCTCTATGGAGTTTACCAAAACCTTACAAGTCGTAGTAACCTATCTCTAGTGTTCGCTCAACCTATGGTTTTACTACCGTAGACCAACTAAGTATCATCTCTCGATCTCAACTTAGTCCATTAGTTCATTCAATTCTTAGGCCCTTAAGAATCAAAAGCATTAGGAATAATAATAAAACTTAGGAAGAATTCTTAATACAAATTAACAATCAAAGATCAATACATAATTAAGAGATTGGGCTACATCTTAGCCCTAGAGAATAAAATTAGTTCATAATAAACATGAAAGAAACAATCAAATTTATTAAAACATTTATCATGATTTTACAAGAAAAGAACAAGGAGAACTTCTCTATATTGTGAATCAAAGCTCTAGAACTTCTATTACTTCTCTTCTCTACAGATTTTTCTCCCTTTCTTCTCACCAAAGAATCCCTAAATAATGCTAAAAGACTTCTATTTATATCCCACAAGGATTAGGGTTTGTTTTTCCTTAATTCTATTTGATTTGGAACCCTTAACCCTATTCTCCTGGCTAAAAATGGACAACAAACTAGTGACTTCCGTGACTATGCCGTGGCACTGTGCTGCAGCACAGTAGCTACTGGAAAAAGTGTGCTGCAGCACTGTGCCGTGGCACAGTAGCTACTACCCCTTTCCTGCATCATTCCAATATTCTTAAAAGATGTTGATTTTTGGACTCGATAACGATGGAATTTGGAAACGTTGTCAACATATTAGATGTAGCCCTTTGAATCATATTTCCAACGGTCCAAGAATCATCTTAATCAGAGTTCTACAGCTCAAGATATTATCAAAATACCGAGGCATGCGCAAGCTGAAACGTAATCTAGAATCTTCTCTTTACTTCAACTTCCATAACTTCTTCAATTCAACTCTGATTCTTGATCCGTTTGTTTCCACTCATCACTCATTCTGTTGCAAACATGATTCTTCATTCGAGCATAACATTTAAGCACTAGTAACCTGAAAAACACTCAAAAACACCCGTGATCCCGTAAAAGACAATTATGAAAATATTAAGCAACTTTACCACATTAAGCCTAATTTCCCACAATTAATCCCTCAAAAACCACTAACTAAATGTGTATTTTCAAGCTCTTATCACTGTCTAGGTTTGTTGTAGTTGTATTTGGGTTGATTTCCATGTTGAAGGGTGATGGGGTTTTTTGATTGTTTGCAGGGACAAAGAGAAAGAAGCTAAGTTGATAGGCAAGCAGAAGCTTTTAGCTGAGCTCCGATACCATGTAAGGAATAGAGATAGAGACAGAGAGAAGGACAAAGAAAAGCAGTTTAAGATAATGACATTGCTAGAGTATGCCTAAGAGAAGAGAAAGAGAGAAGAATTTTTTTATATTCAGTATATTGTAAAGCTATACAATTGGCCAATTTATACAATTTGTAAATGTAAAGAAGGAAAATAATAAATACAAGAATCCCTGTAATTGTTCAATCAATCACATGAATTAAGTTGATTGATTGAAACTTTAATCACTCCTTAATCTCAACCAGCAGAGATCAAGGGAAATCAATAATAAAGACATTCCATATTTCGTCAATAAGGGCTCATACTTGAACATTCCAAATTGAAACGTGACCACATGCTTATTAGTCTCATGTCTCATTTTTAACCCTATCATCCCGCATGATCTTGTTAGTTTTGCAAGGAACAGTACTGCAGGTACACTAAAATATGTTCAGATAGACATATGAAATATATATGTTCAAGACATCTCATTTGAACTTAAAACAAATGCTCAGTGTAGATGTACTGATCATTTTTAACTTCTTCAGTTTGATATCTTGAACATGTCATGAATTCTTGAAAAAATAAATAATTCAAAATATTTAAAACTTACCTTTTTTTTCCCTCAATTTGATCATCGATTCTTTATACGATTGTTTTCTCCATAGTAAAAATGTAAAATATATTTGTCAAACAGACATATAAATAATTTTTCAATGGATATAAAAATTTAGAGCTAGGGTTTATGTAAGAAACAAAGACTTGAGATAAAAAAGCAAAAAATAAAATAAATGAAGTATGGGTTATGGGTATACTTAAAATGTAATATATATTTATCAAAGAAACAAAGATTTGAGATATAACTAAAGCTTTCAATTGTTATGAAGATATATAGTTAGGGTTTATGCAAGAAGTGCAGATTTAGAATGGAAACAAAAATATTAAATGAACGTGGTATACTTAAAGCTAGCATTAACCTCTATGGTAATTTTATATAAGGTTAAACATGTCAAAACTAAAAAAAAAAAAAAAAGAGTCTACACAAAAGACAAAATATGTGGATACTAAATATTATTTCTGTTGAAGTATGAACCTATTGTGGTGAGTGCAAATTTGGCCATGGTTGAAGAGTTGATAAGCTGTAGCGTTGAAAGAAAGGTTGAAAAAGCAGGCCACAAGGTCGCCACAGCGATAGAAAAGCTCGCCGCGGTGTGCTAAGAAGGATCGTGAAATGTAGAAAACGAAGCGATTGCCTCGGCAAAGAAAAATTATGTCATGGCGTGCATCATTGTCCAAAAAGTTTAGTTTTGGTTAAATTTCTGTTTTAGTAGTTTGATTTTAGAATAATTGTTAGTTTAGGAAGAATATCTCTTTGAGATAAAATAGGAAAGTTAATATTATTTTGTTTAAGGAGTTTTATTTCGTTCCAAATTAGAGTAGGAGAAGAACCTTTTTTTTTTTTTTAGAGAGAGAGAATTTGATTAATGAAATACGGCAGTTGAAAGTTTTTCTTCCATCAAATCATTCCAGTTCTTTGTTGTTATTTATGTTATTTTTGCTCCCAATTCAACAATTAATACTAGAGTCTTGATTTTCTTGGCTTCTAAATTCTAATAAATAGTATCAGAACAGAGTTTTCTAAAGGGATTTGTGGAAAGATTCTTGTAAGGGAGAGACGATACACTTGACAGAAGAAAGTTTGATTAGCAAGATGGGTTCATGAGGTTCGTTGCCACAAATTCCTATATTTATAGGTGAACTCTATCATATTTGGGTGGTGAAGATTCTTGTAGTAATTGCAAGAAGGATAACCGTTTAGAGGCCTAATGTTGGTTTAAGGGGAAGACTCCACCACTCATGAAGTGTAGATTCTGCAACATAACCGATCATAAGGAGAAGTTTTGTTACTAGAAGTAGAGGCAACAAAAGCAATAACAACCTGATCAATAGCAACTATAGGGTAGTGTTGCTAAAAATGAAGAGGTTAGTCTAAGCCTTGAAAAGAAACCAACACTCAAGCATGTAAAGTGTTGGATTGTAATTTGATATTGATAACACGTTTTTTAGAAATATAGCTCCAACAAGAAGTATGGAGACAGAAGAAACCAACACTCAAGCATGTAAAGTGCTTAATGCATGCAAATGCAACACCTAATTTTACCTCACTTAAAACTTATAGCAATGTCGTGTATAGTATAGTGTAAATAAGGGTCTTTCCCATAGAAGATTTTTAAACTTAACTAATTGTCTACTTCTAAAACAAGTTTTGTCACGAGTTATAAAAACTAAGAAGCTAAAATCAAACAACGTAAAGTGACCAAACATTCACAAAAGAGAAAAATATAAAAGAAACGAATTGAAGGTTTATTTGCCACCACTAGACATGAATTGCATATAATAAAAACACTCTTTAACTTTCTATCCTCTTGATCACATCTGCTCAGAAAATACCAAACATTAATAAGTTCTAGCTCTCCTTATTGAGTCGTTAGATTAGACACGATCGTAACCTAATTCCTTATTTATTAAATAACCTAGGATACAATCTCTAGATTCAAAGTAATAAAAACATTAAGCTACAAGTGACATACTAAATCATGGCTAAACTCATATGATCTGTTTAGTTATCTTGGGTGATTACCCCCAATGCATGCAAGCATACACTTTATCACTAGTTATTTAGGTTCATAAAGCGATTTTGTACTAAACAACCTCAATCGGCAACAGTAGATTAATCCTAATGATTTAATTAACCACTTAAACAATTAAGACGATTTAGTTAAACCCTATTCACAGAGAATAAGTCATATAATCAAAGAGGGATCAAAAGATAAAAAGATACAGATTTTGTTAATCACAAGACATGTCTAGGGTTTTGAAATCACCCTCAATCACAAAAGAATTAGTTACCCATGAATAAAGATAAAAACATCATTGCATTCATGATAACAAATAATTAGGAAAGCTTGAATAGATTAATGGAGTTGATGATGGTCTTCTCTCCAAGTATTATGTATAAAAGGCAGCTACAAGTCAACTCCAGAAGGAAGCTAGATCAAGAATGGTGTAGCTTAAGGGAAGATATTGTGTATAATGCAATACAAGTCTAGTGTAGTTTAGCTTTAGGGGGAATATTGTGTATAAAAGAACAAGGATCAAAGTGTCATTTTGTAAAAAGTGTAATGGCTTAGTGTAAGTTGTACAATACACTGTGTTTCATTGAGTCAATGGCTATAGTATATAGCCTTCCTCTTGTGTATACTTTTTAGTTAATAAAATCAATTGCATTTTCCAACTAAATTCTGTAAACTCTAGTCTTTCATTTTTCTCTTGTTTTCTTGAATGTTCTTCAATCCTAACAACTCTCTTATGGTATCAGAGCCATAGACAAATGTATTTGGTGTGAAAAGCTCAAGTTTTGATTACAACAGTCTCTAATTTCTTCTCTCTGAAATCCGTAAACATGGAAGCTGGATGTAACAACTCAACAACTTTAGTAACTCCACCTACTCTACCTATGATTTCCGTCAAAGTTCTTGACATAAATTACTCGTTTTGGATCTCACAAGTTCTTCTAACTCTGATTTCTCATGGTCTCCATGGTTTTGTCATTGGAAAAAGAGAGTTTCCTTCTATGTTCATAATGGAGTCAAATGAAGAATCTGGAAAATTGACCAAGAAAGGAAACCATTGTTACTAGAATTGGAAAAAGATTGATCAATTTCTAGTAAGCTAGCTCTTATCTACACTCTTGGAGTCAATGTTCCAGCATGTAGCTAAGTGTAGTAGTTCATATGAAATTTGGAGCACATTAGAGCTACATTTTCAATCAATTTCTAAAGCTCGAACCTTACATTTGTGGAATTTGTTACAAACTACCAAGAAAAATGCTCTTAGTGTTAGTGAATATGTTTTGAAAATGAAGGAATTATGTGATGAATTGATTGCCAGTGGAGTATCAATTAGTGATGAAGAACTATTGTTAGACATTTTAGATGGACTAGGTCTGGAACATGATGCTATAGTAGCATCATTAATCACCAACAGTAGTAGCATGACCTTGCAAGAGGCACATTTTTTCTTGCATAAACATGAAATTAGACTTGATAGGCAACATAATTCATTGAACATATTTCTTGATAAGCTAGCCTCTACTTTGGTAGCCTTTAAACAAAATTCTGAAGATGTGACTAGCCATGATTCTAGAGCTAGTTCTAAAAATCTCAATTTTTCGAGATCATCTCACCAACAGATTTTGTCACAATCAAGCCTAGTTCCTGTACAGTCTCAATTCTCTGGATATTCTTAATATCAGTCTCCAAATACTATTCATGGTCAACCTAATTTTACCTCTCAAGGAGTCTCCCAACCTACTCAATTTTTGCCTCAGTATCCTCCCACACTTGATGTGCAAAGTCAGTTTCTTTCATCTGGAATGATGATATTTAATCCTCACATGAGACCTAGAGGCAGAGGATGGGGATCTTTTAGACCAAGATTGATTTGCCAAGTTTGTGGTAAAGGTGGTCACTCAACATTGCAGTGTTACCATAGTTTTAACCACTCCTATTTAGGCTTTACAAATAATGGATCTTCTAATGTGATACCCTCACAAGCTTAGTTCACAAACCAAACTAATGAACTTGCTCAAACTTTTTCGGTAGCAAAAATGATGCAAGGGCATATACTAAACAATGTGGTATAGCAACCTATTAATAATACTCACACTAACAGCTCACAACAGTTTCCAATTTGTCCTCAGTAATTCCAAACTAGAGGTCCTCAAAAGTTTCAAACTTATCCTCAACAATTTCAACTTTGAGGCTTTTACACTCTTGGAACTTATCCTTCACAGTTGAATTTTTCACAACAATCTGCGTTCAGAGGACAAACACACTCAGATAATGTAAATGTGACCTTACCTATGTCTACTAAGACTTTACATGTTGCCTCTCCTCAAACTGTGATAGATCAAACTTGGTATGTTGACTTTGGGGCTACTAATCATATGACTACGTACTGACACTAGTAATTTGTTGCTCAAGAGTGACTACCAAGGTGATTCTCAAGTACAAGTTGGAAATGGGTAGACTGTTCTCATCACTCATGTAGGTATGTCTCTTGTTTCCTCTCATTTCACTAAGAGAATATTATAGTTGAAAAATATGCTTTGTGTTCCTCATATTGCTAAAAACTTGCTTGATATCTCTCAAATAACTAAGGACAATGATCTTATTGTTGAATTCCACTCTAATTGCTGCCTAATAAAGGATAAGACTACCAAGGAGATTTTACTTCAAGGAGGTTTGAAAGATGGACTTTATCAGGTCCAAATCTCCTTTAGTCTTCACCAATCTCTTGTCCTTGACAATAAAGCAGATTATGTTATCCAAAATGAAAATATGTCTAGTACTAGTCCTGTAGGTCCAGTAAAACCAGTTGATGCTTTAACTTCTGAAATTCTGTCATGTAATAAAGACAAATCTGTCACTGGTGATGTTGATACTACTATGTTATGGCATGCTAGGCCAAGTCACCCTAATGTGAGAGCTTCACAAAGCATATTGAATAAACTTCATGTAAGAAGTGTTTCTAGGAATACTATGAGATTGTGTGAAGCATGTCAGTTTAGGAATATGCAACAATGTTCTTGTCCTAGTTCTAATACATCTTCAACCGCTCCTCTTGAATTAATTCATGCTGACTTATGGAGGCCTACTCCTGTAGCATCTCCTGAAGGATATAGATACTATATTGCTTTTGTAGATGATTATAGTCGGTATATGTGGGTTTATCCCTTGGAGTTGAAGTCCGATTCATATAGAATGTTTACATGGTTTCATTATTTAGTTGAGAAACAATTTGATTTCAAAATTAAGTGCTTGCAAACAGATTGGGGTGGCGAATTTAGATCATTCTCTCAATATCTTCGAAAGCATGGAATAAATTTTAGATGTCCTTGTCCTTATCTACACCAACAGAATAGTAGAGTACAAAGAAAACCGAGGGCTATTAATGAGTTTGGTTTAACCATGTTAGCTCATGTTGGTATGCCATTATGTTTCTGGTGGCAAGCATTTTCTACAACTACATTTTTGGTAAACAGATTGCCCTCTATTGCTATAGAGTTCACCTTACCTTTTTATCAGTTGTTTAACAAAGAACTAGATTATACAGAGTTGAGAGTGTTTGACTATAGTTGTTTTCCTTCTATTAGACCTTTTCAAAAACACAAATTCTCTTATCACACAAAGAAATGTGTTTTTCTAGGGTATACTCCAATTCATAAAGGTTACAAATGCTTGTCCTCCTTTGGAAAGATTTATGTGGCCAAGCAAGTTAAGTTTAATGAGATTGAGATGGCTTTCAAATTTGGTTTCAAATGCTCTTTAGTCTCTAGTGTTGAGATTGTAGTTCCAGTGTCAACCAATAACAATAGTACATCTTGGCAGCTTCCCATTACTAACATAGATATTAGACCAAGGTCTTCTAGAATAACACAGTCTTCAGGAGAGGTTTCCTCTTCTTCTGACATCAATCTCTCCACACCAAACTTCTCAAATTCAAAAGAAGGATATTCTTGTTCTGACTATCAGAATTCAGCAGTCTCTCCACCATCACTACTTGCTAAGGTACCTTTATCTGGGTCATCATTACCACATACTACCATACCTTCATCTACTGTTTCTCTTGTCCAAAGAGAAATTCATCTTGAGGTGGTATTACCTATGGCTTCTTCTAATTTGACTGCTTTTCTATCTAGTGATACATATGTACACCCCATGATAGCAAGGTCCAAAAGCTTATTACAACCTTGTACTCTAGTTACTACACAAACCATTCTCTTTAAACCAAAGTCTCTGACAAAAGCTCTTCATTATCCAAAATGGAAATCTGCAATGGAAACAGAATACCAAAATCTTTTTAGAAATAATACTTGGGAACTCATTCCTTATACACAAGACATGCAGGCTGTTGGAAGCAAATGGGTACGTGTTTAAGACCAAACTGAACTCTGATGGGTCCCTACAAAAATACAAAGCTAGACTAGTAGCTAAAGGGTTTCAACAAACACCTCGAATAGACACTTTGATACTTTTGCACCTGTTATCAAAGTTGCCACCATCAAAATTACTATCTCTATAATTGTTCATCATGATTGGCCTATTCAATAGTTGGATGTTAATAATGCTTTTCTGAATGGAGATGTCATTGAACATGGTTTATGACTCAACCTAAAGGTTTTTCAGTTGAATCCAACTCCAGACTTGTTTACAAATTGAAGGCGGCCCTATATGGACTAAAACAAGCTCCTAGAGCCTAGTTTGACAAATTAAAGAAGACATTACTGACTTGGGGTTTTGTGAATTCTTCCTCAGATATCAGTCTGTTTTTCTATAATAAAAAAAGGTAGCCAAGTGGTGTACTTATTAGTTCATGTTGATGATATTCTCTTGATGAGGAATGATATTGATTTAACCTCTCAAATTGTTACTGATCTGAATCAACAATTGCATTGAAAGATTTGGGAAGTGTTAACTATTTCCTTGGATTTGAAGTTCACAGAAATAGTTTAGGTTTGTTGCTAACACAATCCAAGTATGCTCAAGAACTTTTACACATGGTTGGGATGTTTGATTCAAAACCTTGCAGTACTCTTATGTCTATTGGAGTTAAACTTAGCGAAGAAGATAGTTCAACCTCTGATTAGCCATCCTTATACAAGAGCATTATTGGAGTTTTACAATACCTCACCTTGTCTAGGCCTGACTTAGCTTTTGCTATCAATAAACCAAGTCATTTTCTTCAGCTTCCAACAATCTCTCATAGACTGCTTACAAAAGAATGCTTCGATACATCAAGGGCACAGTTCAATGTGGCCTATACTTCAAGAAAAATGAGCATTTTGTTCTCTAGGGGTACACTGATGCTAATTGGGCCAATGACGCCAGTGATCGAAAGTCCACTTTAGGTTATTATATTTATCTTGGTGGGAACTTGGTACAATGGTGTTTTAGGGAACAGAGGTTTGTTGCCCTGTCTTCCACAAAAGTAGAATACAGGGCACTCAGCTAAGCAGCAACTAAACTAGTATGGGTTCAGAACTTGTTTCAAGAGCTTGGGATTCAAGTTAACAATACCCCTATACTCTGGTTTGACAATATGAGTGCAAGGGCTTTGTCATCAAACCCTCTTTTTCATGCGAGCATTAAGCACATCAAAATTGATGTGCATTTTGTAAGGGAGTTAGCTACCGAGAAGAGGCTTTTGTTCAATATGTTGCATCAGAATATCAAATTGCTAATATTCTGACAAATGTTCTCCCTGGTCACAAACATCAGCTTCTCTAAGATAAACTAAATGTGTATTCATCTTCTTCTAGTCTGAAGAGTATTTCAGAAATGCATGATAGTAAGAATGGTGTTTAGATTGAGAAAAAGGAGGAGTGATGTTTAGAAGTGTATATGTGAAAATTGATGAGTAAATTCTGGTGTTTTGTAACAATGATGGATGAGTTGATTGTTGAATTAGTTGTTTTCTAGCAGTGATGATAGTTTGTTTTTGTAGCAGTGATGATCAGAAAGTGTTTTGTGTGAAGGTGAATGGCAATAAATGATGTTGAGTGGCTATGTTGAATTAGTTTTGTAGCAATGATGTTAGTTGTTTTGTAGCAGTGATGATCATGAGTTTTTGTGTGAAGGTGAATGGCAATTAATGATGCTAAGTGGCTACAAAGTTAGCTCAAGGTGGAACCTAGATCAAGAATAGTTTTAATTTACGGCAAGGTATTGTATAAAAGGCAACTACAAGTCAGCTCCAGAAAGAAGCTAGATCAAGAATAGTGTAGCTTAAAGGAAGATATTTTGTATAATGCAATATAAGTCTAATGTAGTTTAGCTTCAGGGGAAATATTGTGTATAAAATAACAAGGATCAGAGTGTCATTTTGTAAAAAGTGTAATGGCTTAGTGTAAGTTGTACAATACGCTGCGTTTCATTGAGTCAACAACTACAGTATATACCCTTCCTCTTGTGTATACTTTTAAGTTAATGAAATCAATTGCATTTTTAAGCTAAATTCTGTTAACTCTAATCTCTCATTTTTCTCTTGTTTTCTTGAATGTTCATCGATCCTAACAACTCCTTCACCAAGCCTCTTTTAATCTCTCTTAATCTCCACATTATTGAGAATATTTTGTTCTCTATATTCTCTCTCTCCGACCTAAAAATACCTAAAGACATCCTTTTATAGTGCTATAGTTGTGGGAAAAATAATGGGAAATCCCTATACAAAAAAAGGAGAATCAAA